ACACTACATCTAAATCCTAGTGAGCAGCCCTGCCCCTCTCTACTTATCGCAGCATATCGCACGGGGTGCAGTATTTCGGACACTTGATATCTTACGGGCGGTTTCAGTAACAATGAGACGTATCCTACATCAAGAGATTATCCTCGATTTTAAAGCTACTCAAGAGGCTGTCAGCCGCAGATCCCAAAATAAATCGCCTCTTCGTTTCAGAAGCCAATCGTGGGGTAAGTTACACTTACAATTGATACCCGACGATAATATATTCAGATAGTGACATAATACCACTACAGCACGGGCTCCTTAGATTATTGATGACACACCCAATATGTATACTCCGCTGATTATGAAAATAATAGGAGTTTTAAGAGCGCAGAGTAACTTGGTGCACTCGTTTCCTCTCTTCCGTTAAAGCGCCCAGGGCCAGTGAAAGGATGCCGCTTCAATTCTTCAAGAGTTAATATACCCCATGCAAAAACGAAACGAAACAAACGTCGAGGAATTTTGGTCTTTCGCATCTGTAAGCTAAAAGAAGCATGGATGGCAACCGAGCATTGAAGGGGGTCGCTCATCAAGCGGTTGTCCGGGGTGCCTCTCCGGGGACCGACTATGCCTTCAACGTTCGGAATCTAATTCACTATTTGTGGCTAAAACCCAGGAAGAATAGGAACTAGCCTCGAGATAGGATACCGTTGAGACGCCTCTTGAGTTAGCGCTCCGAAACGGCGGTATCAACATAGCGCTATGCCGTAAGAAGGTTGTCAGGGGTTATGTTGCCAAGGGACTAATTCTAATTCGGATTGTATTCGGAATATACTGGCGCCGAAAGCCTAGCCGGGTTCGTCTGTATTGCTAGTTCTGAGTCTAGCACCCTCTCACACGGGTATGTCGTTAGTTTAACATCATATCACAGCGAGCTCCTGAGAGTCGCTGGTGACCTCTCATTCAATTCTATTTCATTTTCGTTGCCTTGAGCAACTGTGCAATCTCAACAACTTGACCATACTCGCTTACTATGTTTCTCAACCGATCGAACGCTATGTCTAACGCCTTGCCTAACGCCCCGAGGCTCAAGACAATTAGAGACTGGCCAGAATGGTCTATGAGGCTCCTCGTTGAGGCAACTATTCGAGGTGTCTGGGATCTGATTGACCCAGATGCGCCGGATGCACCGCATGTCGACCACATTAGGCCAAGTGCTCCTACTATGGCAAATATCAGGCTCCAAATTGCCCAAGAGCGGAAAGAATGGTACAACGAAAGACATGAGGAGTGGCGAAAGAAGCCTCAAGGTCCCGAAAGAGGAGACGAGCCAATCTATGACGAGAAAGAACCGACCTTGGAGGAGATCACCGCGCGACACCGCGTGGAGTCTAGCATATTCAATGCACAGGTGGAAGTATGGCGAGTAAAGAGCGATTCGTACTTCCATATTCTCGGTTGGATCTACGGAACTATTGACCCTTATGTCATGAGAATAATGACATATAAGTTGGTCGCACTCAAAGACTTCAATGTGCAAACTGCGGTACGCGTGTTGAGAGATGAGTTTGCTCCGACAGCAAGCCAATTAGCCGCGCTTCAACAGCCCCCACGCAACAGAAATGCAAGGAGGAGACGCAAAAAACTGACATAAGCTCATATTTTGATTGGCATTATATGACGTGAGAATTCTGCGTTCATCCCCCCGATGATTGCGTCCGATATTAGTGCGGCGTGCATATCTATAGAGCCGGGGCGGCACATCGTGGACATAGTCGGATAGGGCGGTCGCATAATGACAAAAGAAACACGGCGCAGGAAGGAGTTTTAGAGCTCGTTTACGTTTTTTCATTAGATCTAGACCTATCCTTGGATGTTGCACCTTGGTAGATCTGGTGCTAACTGGAGTTGCATTGTAACGTAACTCTACGTCGGCCCTCGCGAGTACGGCTTGCCGTCTTAACGAATACGACACCCCAGATTTACGCGGGATCATCATGATTACTTATCGACGAAGATCCGACGATTGCTTAGCTGCGGGTTGGGGCCGCCGGCACGTCAGACCGTTGTGACATGAATCTTATAGGGTGGGGGATATTTCGTGTCTTTGGCCTTCTCTCAGATTTCCTCACAGTAATGGATTTCTAGTTAATTAAGTATATATGTGGGTTTTAAGAACAGTCAACTACAAGGACTTAAGGGCCAACTCATGAACAAGGTGTTATAACTTAGACAGAGAATCACGAGGAAACTCGAAATCTCATTAGATCTGAGAGTGTAGCCGACTCAACAATAAATTTTATTTCCCGATTATCTTATATAGGTTATTGCGCTCTCATGTTGGTGAGTCTAACACCACATGATAGCTCTAGGTCATACCACCGAAGATAGGCTTTGAGTGCGAATTGCGGGTGATCCGGAATTTGACCAATTGAAAACCGAACGACGTCATGGCTTTGAGCACCAATTCACGGGAATAAGAAAAGAATACCTTAAATGATCGGTTCTCAACTGGGTGAGTGGTTTTCGTTTTCCCGCCACCTACTATGGGTCGCGCAATTTAGCCCATTTTAGTCGGGACTATATATCGCCTGCCGGTATGCTTACGCGTGACGGCGATGTGGGAAATGAGCTAAAAGCGAATACCAATAGCGCTGTTAGGAATCGAACCTAACTCACTATTTAGTCAGACGGTAGGTGTGGGATGGGGCACGTCATAGCCCATCTAGGTAGTCATCTCAAACATGCTTAGCAAAAAAACTTACGAGCAACACTTTTTCTAATTAGTTTACCGGTGCCGAACCTGGCCGGCCTTAATATCCAAACACCATAGTTTTTACACCTCATGTATCACCCATTCGCGTCTCCTAGTCCTCCCTCAATCCCACATACGGGTGGGTCGCTAGAATCGACCCGTGGCAATCGGGGAATAGTTGATGTTAGTGTGGTTCCTGTTTTTGTAATCTGGAAATGGCTTACCTACATCGGTCCAATAGAACCGCCGTTCTACCCGCATTCGTCAACGGTCAGAGAACGTGTTGTATACAATTAATGAGGCAACATGGGCTACCAGGGCATATATAACCCGTCTCATGGTCCTCACCGATACATGTTAAAGTAATAATCATCTAAACTCGATTTCAATCAGAGTCAATTACTCTCCTCGCTACGTGCAAAGACGTAATTGAGCTATATCTACCATGACTAGCCCCAGAATCCTGATCACCGGTGTGTCGGGTTATGTGTAAGTCAAAAGTCAAACTCAATAACGAAGACATGCGCTTAACTTGGTGCAGCGGCGGTACTGTCCTGTCACAGTTCCAGAATTCTTCGAGCGCGGAGATTAAAAGTGCTTCTCTTTCTGTACTCGTCAGGAAACAAGAGCAAGCCGACAAATATGCTTCCCAGGGTGTTAAATCCTTCCTCTTCGCAGGCCTGGAAGATGTAGAAGCCGTCCGCCAGCTAGCTAGCCAGTTCGATATAATCGTCCACACCGCAGACTCTACAAATCCTGCCGCTGCTGAAGCGCTCATATACGGACTCCACGATGGAGCGCAGAAAAGCGACGGCGGTAGCAGCAAGAAACATTTTATTCACTTGAGTGGCGTCTCGAGCCTGGGAGATTCGCCCGTCTCCAAAGCTCCCACAATCTCCTACGAATTCTCGGATAAGCGGGACGATATCTACAGCTACATGAAATGGCTCGAGAGCATCAAGCCATATTCCCAGCGGACGACCGACCTGAGGGTCGTCGATGCGGGCGAAAAGACCGACGTCAAGACATACGTCATCAAAGCGCCTCGGATCTTTGGCCGCGGTACCGGATTATACAACAATAAATCCGTTCATATTCCGATGCTCACCAGCGGCGCCATTGCGGCAGGGCAACCGGAGTATATCGACCAAGGCACCGGCGTTTGGGATGACATCCACGTCGTAGACGTCGCCTCGTTCTTCGAATTGTTGCTTGCCAAGATCTTGAAGAACGAAGAAATACCTATCGGGTTTAAACCTTACTTCTTTATTCAATCCATTAGACACTCATGGAAGGAGCTGGCAGAGGGGTTGGCCGAGGCTGGCTTTAAGAAGAATATTCTGAAATCGACGGCAACGCGGTCGATTGGATTAGCCGAGGCGGCTGCGAAATACACTGGCGGGGATGCTCATTTAGCGGAAATCGCGCTGGCGTCGAAGTAAGTAGTGAAAATTAACCCAATCGCCTCCCTACGTATTTGTCTCGGTTATACTGATAATCATATTATCGAACAGTTCGGTCACGAAGGCGGATCTCGCCCTCGAGATGGGCTGGAAAGCCCAGAAGACCGAGGCGGATTTCCAGCAAAGTCTTATGGATGATTTTGATATAATTGCTTCAAAGTGATTTGAATAACATAATATTTACGATGCAAGGAATAAAATAAAGAATCTAGAGGGTTAAATCATCACCATCATGGACTAGTTAACATACGCTTAGCTGTTGTGGATTAGGGGTGCAATTGCGATGTTAAGTAATCCGAATACATATAAATAAGAACTGTTTCACTTTCATGAACTTCTCTATAAGTCCACTTCTCCAAGATTAAATAAATAGAGTAGTAACCCCTCGATTAAGTAGATGGTCGCGATCGCAATCAATCAAAGCGGCTACTTCTCGACGTATACGCCGTAGTGTCCGATAGCAAAGTTCCGTTACCGACAGAAGGGATAAGGGGTTTTTTATTGACTGTGATTGCGACTTCATGCTCATTTATAGCATACATGGAATACACGCTTTATATTGGTCGCTATATAGTGTAATCGTCTATACCTGCCAATGTTAGCTAATTGATAGCCAATTTTAACCCGGGGTTGCAAGAACAGGAAATCCTACCCACATCGCTATAGGTTTATCGCGCCTTAGCATAGACAATGAATGATATATAGATAGCCTACTTGAGCTTCGGAAAAGAAAATTAGAGAAAAATAAACCAAATGAAGGAAACAACCCCAAAAAGATTTGATCAAATAAATACCAAAAGAATGGGTCTGGCCGGGGATTGAACCCGGGACCTCTCGCATATTTGCTGTAGGGTGAACCCTAAGCGAGAATCATACCACTAGACCACCAGACCAGGCAATGCAAGACACTTTTGAAATGCTTGCTGCTGCGATGTTTTCCCGATGCTTTGACATGCACCATATAGAATCGAGTCGCCGCCCACGTGAACCATATTGCTATCCTCATCCGATACAGGATATCAACCCCCATCAATCCATCAAGTTCAGAATTCATATCAAAACAACAACGTCGCATCCGGTATTCACAAAAGTGGATCGCCATCAATACCCGCCGCCCACGTGTTGGACAAGAGATGTCAGTCTACAGAGTGACTCGATGTCTAGTCGAAGGGGGAATGATCGCTTGATTATTCGATCGCCTGCTTGGCTGGGTATTTAGACTTTAGGCTCGGCACCACCACCCACCAACACCACCACCATGGCCGCCGCGTTCCCTTCGTTGAAGCCCAGATCAATGCATGTAATCTCGACCCTACCTTACCTGCCTACCTACCTACTCTATCTATCTAGTGTACCAAGCCAAGCAAGGCCAGGCAGCAAGTAGCTTATCAGGCTTTTCATTGTTTATTTTGGGGACCGACCCAATAACCGGGGCACTTCCCCCCAATCAAGAAAACCCGGCACCTCCCAGATAAACAGAAAATCAATAGACAGAGTAAAATATTGGTAAATAAATACCAGTACGGGAACATCCCTACACGACATCCTGCATTGCATAATCCCAGTCCCGTTATCCGGCACGCTGTGTGAGGAGATCGCTGCCCAGTCAAGGCCGGGATACATGCTAGGCTGAAACCTACGTGGTTTTCCCACTCACGCACACATACTCGCCCTCCCACTCCCAATCCCACTCTCTCTCACTTACTTACTCACACAAATACAAACACACATACGCACACATACATACACACATACATACATGCTCTCTCTCTAGCCCGCCGCGTGAAAGTCACAGCAACAAGCGAACGGGAAGTCCGATTCGCCGCGTCTCCGGTGGCCAAATCAGTGCCCAACACGACGTGCGTCGGAAGGTTCGAGTCAGGAGAGACGTGAAGTGCAGCACCAAGGCCTCCTCCCATTCGACTGTGACGCGTTTTCTTGTTATTGCCAGCGAGCCCGTTATATGTCGTTTATTAATGGTCCATTGGATGTCTCCGGGCGCAGTCAATACGTCGAAACATGAAGGCCATCTGTGTTTACATCCCACTCCATCCATACAAATAGCATCTCGAGGAAATGCCCTTTTTGCCTGCCTACTGATGCCGGAACCACCTGACTTGATGATGCGCGACGTGGAAAAGTGCAAAAATAATAATAATGAAAAAACAAGGGAAAGGCAGATGAATGGCTGTACACGAAATCGTGGATGAAAACGTAGTGTTTGTTATAAAGTATATTTCTCTCTTTTCGACAATCTAACTGTAACCCACTCACATCTCTCCCCCTCCCCTCCCCTCTTTCCACACTCCCTCTGTAGGCTAGCTCTGGTAAGTGCGTAGATATCTCGATGACCTAGCAGATTCGCAACTATGCCCCATAAACAGTCAAGGCAGAGCAAGCCGCACCACCGCCCCCATCGTCGCTCCTACCAGCCTCTACCCTCGAAATCACCTCATAGGCGCAGGGGGCGCAGCCAGAGCAAGCCATCGAGGAGAGCCAGGAGTAGTTCTGTTCGGCTTCATTCCCGTGCTGTCACGCCGGCTCGGTTCCATTCTCGTTCCCGTTCTCGCCCGCGACGGGCCGTACGCACCAGAGATATCCCATTCTATGTGCCACCGACCGGACAACATGCCCACGATATCCCGAACATAATCGCGGACGCTCTGCGGAAGCAGGACGAGGAGCACAACGAGGCTCTCACGGCCACGAATCTCGGGTATCGACCCCTCACTCCTCCCCCAGACTCCAACGTGCAAGGGGCTGCGATGGCCCCAGCCCCGGCACCGGTCCCAGGATTGAAGCGTCGGCCATCCTCATCCCCAGCCGCGGCACACGCTAGACGACCACGTCGGCGACGCCCACGGCCACGAACCCAAAGCGTAATATCAGACGGAGACTCGCCCATCCCACCACCTCGGCCGCAGCCGGCTCCGTTTTACCCTCCACGTCCCGTTTCGCCCCCATATTCCTTTTTTGGGATTATCAGAGCAAAGGCGGAAAAGGAGAAACGCGACAAGGAGGTCAAGAAGAAGAGAGAGAAGAGGGAGCAACGGAGGAAGAAGCAGGGAACGCCGGAGACAATCCAGAACCAAGACGGTGACGAGAAGATCAATTCCCCCAAGAGAGCCAAAGGTGCCGGGGCCAAAGAGTCGTCCAAACCCCCCTCACAACGAGCAAGCTCGGCCCCGCCACTGTATCAAGAGCCTGTTCAAGGGCTATCTCAGGACGAACTTAGCTCGGGAAGTCAGCACGGATACCACCCCAACTCTAAACACGGCAGACTGCGTCACAAGAAGCACCACCGTCGCTTAGGCGAGCAGCACCACCGGCGTAAGAAGAAACGGTCTAAATACGGCATGCGAGACTTCTTCGCATCATTGCGTAGGAAATTAGGGAATTTGCTGCGACTCACCCTGCCAGCAGCGAGCTCAGCCGCACAATCAGCTCCGCCACGTGTGGACATCAGCAACCCGACACCGGCAAGGGATTTCTCAGGTACTCAGCAACACATCAGCGAAAGCAAGTTTGGAACCGGCCGCACATCCTACCAGAACAGAGGACGGAGACGAGGGGGGTTGGAGCAGCCACTGCCGTACTTCATGCACGGCGGGAGATCGCCGGCCGAGTCGTGGCATTCAAAGTTATCGAGACCTCGGAGCAGGAGACGGTTTACTGCGACGGTAGAGTCAGCTCCGGGTTCAGGCGCGCCAAGTCCACACATACAGACCGAGGAATTCCCCAGCGTTGCCCAGACAGTAGCCGGGGTGGAAACCCAACGACTTTCTTATCACACGGGCTCAGCAATCTCCATCATCGCCCGGAGATTCATGGGCCCCTTTCTATCTGAGCCAAGCGACCCGTCTACTATAGGCAACGACCTAGGACAGAAAAGACTGAGCTGGCGAAGCCACAAATTACTCACGGCAGGATCAAGGCCTGCGACGCCACCATCATCTCGCAACCCGAGCCCGGGAGGCCGAGGGCGCAGTAGAAGTCGAGGACAGAGGGTCTCGATCCCGGGGGCGTACAGATCTTTCTCGAGCTCGAGCATGGGCCTCCGCAGCCTCTACCCAGACCGCAGAAGCCGCTCGGCCTCACCACCGCGGGTTTCATCCCCAGTTTCATCGCCGGTTTCACCATCCCCAATTTCACCGACCCCAGTTTCGCCCCCGGTCCCGGTCCCGTCCTCCCCAGATTACGGATTGGCGGATTTATTCGCTACGCCTCCGAGCGCGGGCAGCCCCGTCAGCGCCACGCCCGTGCGCATATCCTCGCCCGACTACAGCTTACCAAGACTGTTCGCCTCGACGCCAGTCAGCACGGGGTCGAATTTTGGTCTGTGGCGGCTCTTCGGCGACTGATGATACGGGCAACAGATAAGAAAAAAACACAATGTTTATAGGAATTTTTCGTATATAGACTAGGCGTGCATAGCTAGATCTTGTGAAACAAACAGGAATGTCGATTGTAATCCAATAGGGAGGGGGGACGCCAATAGCCACTGTATATGACACACAAACACACGCGAGGTTGAGACATACCTCACTCACTCTCTCAAGCTACCAAAAAAACTCCGAGTCGCTGGAAATGCATCTAAGAGAAAAAAACGCCGTAAGATGCTTGGGAAAACACGATGCTTAAACCCAACGCCATTTTGAAATGGCTGATGCCGCCCAACCTGAAAAACAAAACAAGCAAGAGTGAAACATGACAAAAAAAAAGAATGGAAAAGAGAGAAACTATGATGAGTTTGACAATCCCCCCTTTGCCCGATATCCCGTTTTTTTCATGTGCCTTTTAATCGACCGAACTCCGCGTCGGGGGATAGACGCCCGTCCTCATCGACGACCTTCCCACGGTCCCATTCCCGCACGCCGCCGGCCTTGTTCCACCGCACGTCCGACTCGTCCTTCTCGTCTCCTTTCTCCCACTTGCGTATCTGGTCCTCCGTGAAGCCCGCGGAGCGGAGCCGCTCCGCGCCTTGTTGCTTCCACTTCTGTCTGTCCCGGAACGCCTCCACCGCGTTGTCCCAGTCGTCGTCGCCGGCCTCGTCCGGGTCGGGCGTCACGTCAATAGCGGGGTCGTAGTCGGCGGCGAAACGCCCGTCGATACCAGACATGGCGGCATTGAGGCCGCGACCCCGTCGGCGGACGGTCGATTTGGGAGGAGGCGCGGGACCGATGAGATCATCTAGCGGATCGGAGTCCGAATCGGTATCTTTATTCGAAGAGGGGGCGGGTTTATGTGTGTTTTCTTTCTCTACGCGGCGGTGATGTCTGCGGCCGTCGTCTCTTTCGCGAGGAGTCCGTTCTCTATGGCCTCGATGCCGATCTTTTTGTTCTTCGCTGGGGCTCGATCTGCGGTCGCGGCGTCTTTCTTCGCGCCGATGGGAATGGCGATGGCGGTCGTGGGAATCGGAGTACTGGTCCTCTCTCCTGCTCCTGCTCTTCGATTTGACATCGTCCTCTCCTCGGTGCCTCGTCTCTCGAGACTTGCCCTTCCGATCGCGGCCGTGCCTGGAATCAGGCGAGCCGCGGTCGGGGGAGACGCTGGCTGATTTGTTGTTGTTGTCGCTCTCGTTGGGTCTGCGCCTCTTAGACGGGCCGCCTAGGATCGCGGCAATGTCGCCGAGCATGCGTTTCCGCGTGTCGTTAGGACCCGGCTTGGACCGGCGCGCTCTGCGCTCATCCTCGTCTCGCTTCCGCCGATCGGCTTCTTCGAGGTCGCGCAGTCTGGCTTGGGATTCGGCATTTTCTCGCGCGAGAAGCGCTCGGTTGTGGCTGTTTGTGTCGCGGATGATATTATTGAGGAATCGCGTGTTCGGTTTGGGCTGGTTTGCTGGACGTCTGGGATTGTGATTAGCAAAATGCGTCCAAGGCCAAGGGAGAAGACA